CCGGGAACACGTCACAATATTCCTCATTATAATAATTAATGTGCAGAATAAAGGGGCGGGGCCTGGTTGAGTTAGTTAGTAGTGTGTTAAACTGGCGGTTATGGAAAGGGGCGGGACTTTCCCATACACACTCGAAGCGCTCGACCAATCACAACACACTGCTCCAGCCGACCAATCAGAGCACAGTGTGCTTTTCAGAAGGAGGGGCTTCATAGAGACAGGAAGTAAACAGAGCGTTACTGACAGACTGGGAAGAGAGGAGCCGCAACAATGGAGAATATGAGGAGAATAATCAACATTCAAGCAGGAAAACCTGTTCTAGTAGAGCCTGAAACTACATCAAGCATAATAGAGTGGTGTAATGCTAAACAGCCACATTTATCAGTGCATTAATGGAGTTTGTAGAAACTCACAGTGTATTTTGTGCTCTATTTTCTCTCCAGAATCCATTAGAATACATTACTATGGCAGCTTTGTCCAAAATCTTCGCCGTGGCTACGACATACCCGTATCAGGTGGTGCGAGCGCGCCTGCAGGATCAGCACAACACGTATGATGGACTGGTGGATGTCGTCCGGAGAACATGGAGGTAAAGCCTGGGATTCACATGCACTCGAGCACAACACAAGCAAACCAAATAATGGAGATATAAATGACTCAAAGAAAATGACACAGCTTCACATTTATGCTTTTAAATCCCCCTGGAGGCCTTCCAGTGTAACTACATTAACACAATCGGTAACACGGTTCATTAGTGAACTACTTTAGTGAGCATGAACTAAGAATGAACAACACTTCTACAGCATTAATCAACTTTAGTTAATATTAATTCCAACGGTAACGCTTTAGATTACAGCCCGGAAAGTACTGGGTAATTAAAGCAATTTTACAGCGTAAGCTTCGGTAATTATAGTGTACCTATAACGTACTTACAATACAAGTATAAGGGAACAATATTTTAAGTTTGGGGAATAAAGGGGTAACAACCAGGAGAATTAAAAAATTATTAATATTGTGAGTATTATAGAACTAAGGGGAACTTATTCTACTATTATGATATAACAATCTTACATTTGTGATCAATTTAGCAAGAACATACACTGCGTATACCTTTTTTAAATAATGGTGAACCAGTACATACTGTATAGGCTTTATAAATAGATATAATAGATATGTACCCTGTAAATTTTAAAATGTAATCTTTTTAACAAAAGTGCACTGAAAACGGAAACTATTGCAACTTTTGCTTAAATATTGGGGAAAGATACTCTTGTTCCATGTAGTTACTGGGTAAGTACAGTAAAAATGCACACACACAATCTTATATCACTGACTCGGAAACCTTTATTTATTATACAAGCACCACTTACCCTGTAAACACATGAAACAAGATATATTTCCCAGTATTTAAAAAAATTGCAATAGTCTTAGCTTTTCTTAATTTGAAACATGTTAGCCCAACTTAAACATCTGCACTTTTGCTATAAAAAAAAAGAAAAAAAAAAGTATAAATGCATAGATATGTACCCTGTCATTTTTAAAAAGCCTTACATTTGGGAGCAATTTAGCGAGAACATACACTGCATACCTTTTTGTAATAATTGTGTACCAATACATACTGTTATTGGTAATTTCCGGGCTGTAATCTAAAGCGTTACCATTCCAACATTTACTAATACGTTATTTCAATCAAAGGTTGTATTTGTCAACATTAGTTAATGCACTGTGAACTAACATCAACAAACAATGACCAGCTGGATTTTTTATTGACTAACATTAACAAAGATTAATAAATAATTTAACAAATGGATTGATCATTGTTAGTACATTAATGTTAACTAATGAACCTTATTGTAAAGTGTTACCACACAATTTATACACCAGTTTTTATGTCTTTCGAAAAGAGTCTCTTCGGCTGCATTTATTTGATTAAAAAATACAGTAAAATAGTGAAATATTATTCTAATGTAAATCTGCAGTTTTCTATGTGAATATACAGTAAAGTGTCATTTATTCCTGTGATCAAAGCTGTATTTTCAGCATCATTACTCCAGTCTTCAGTGTCACATGATCCTTCAGAAATCACTGTAATATGAGGATTTGATGCTCAAACTGATCAGTTTGGTGAAGTTTAACATCTGTTTTCTGGTGGAATGTAGTTGTCCTGTAATATGTGTGTGTTTGCGCAGAAACGAGGGTGTGTTGGGCTTCTACAAAGGCATGGTGCCAAACCTGATCCGGGTCACTCCGGCCTGCTGCATAACCTTTGTGGTTTATGAGAACGTTTCCCGATTCCTCCTGGACCGGCACCAGTGAACGACCGGACCTGGGATGGGTCGTCCCGTCAGCGACAGTGTTTGGCGTCCACAGACATAAATAAATAAAACAACCAGAAAAACCTCTCTGGAAAACTGAACTGCATGATGCCACAGAGTTCACAGTGTAAGATGTGTCGTCACTCCTCCAGAAACTGCAACTGCTGTGACACATTATCCTGAATATGGACATGACGGATTGATTGTGTACGTTTTTTTTAAGTGGCTGTAAGTTATGTTCTCTTAAAGGCTGTTTATTTCATCTAATTAAAAAGTGTAAAAAACAAACCAGGTTTAAACGTTTACTCAGAAGATAATGATGAATTGTGTCTCGAGTCGCACGGGTATTTCTGTGGCAATAGCCAACAATACACTGTTGATTTTTTGTTTATGCCAAAAATCATTAGGATATTAAGTAAAGATCATGTTCCATGAAGATATTTTGTAAGTTCCTATCATAAATATATAAAACATTTATTTTTGTGAGTGAATGCAGCACAACCGTGAACATAAATGCACAACTTTAAAGGCCATTTTCTCAATGTTTCGATTTTTTTGCAACCCTCAGATTCCAGATTTTCAAATAGTTGTATCTCAACCAAATATTGTCATATCCTAACCATACATAAATGGAAAGCTTATTTATTCAGCTTTCAGATGATGTATAAATCTCAATTTCAAAAAATTGACCCATGTGACTGGTTTTGTGGTCCAGGGTTACAATTGTGGTAAATATAGGGCTGGGCAATATATGAAATATTCATTACATATTTGTGAACAATACAATACAATACATTCTTACATATATACACACACAAAAAAACTCCAGTGTTAAATTAACTCTCCTCGGAGTTTGAGTCCACACTCAATACTGTTAAAATTAACTCTGAAGCAGTGTTAGTTAGGGAGATAATTAAGTGATTAATTGAGTGATGATTGAGCATTAGTGATGAACACCTGATGTTAACAAGCAGATTCACTGAAGTAAAGAGTCGCCATTATGGTGATCAGTGTCTGCTTTAGTTGGTCTCTTGTATTAGAAAAAGTGGTTTAAACATTTAAAAGTCAAGGGTAAAGAGCCCAACTAAAGCTAACACTGATCATCATAATGGTGACTCATTCCTTCAGTGATTCTGCTTATTATTATCAGGTGTCTTCACTAATGGTAATCACTCAATTAATCACTTAATTATCTCAGTAACACTGCTTTAGATTTACCACTCTTGAGTGTGAAGTTTTAATTTAACACTGGGGTTTTTGCTGTATAGCCCCTTTAATATGCTTGATCTTTATACAGTTTCACAATTATTTTTTGTGAATCAATTCAAGCTGTTTCAAAGAATCAATTCAAAACTCTTGATTCAAAGATTATTTTTTCATCACTCCGTGTGGTATTCTATAGGTTAAAATGTTGTTAAAATAACTTATTTTTATTCACATTTATAAAAAAATGTAATATTTAAGAAAAAACAACTTTATTTTTCAGGATTCTTTAATTAATAGAAAATTCAGTATTTATTTGAAGTGAAATAAAAAATTAATTTTTGCTGAAATAAAATATTAATTTCTTTTTAAAAAAGCGTACAGACCACAAACGTTTGAACGGTAGTGCAAGTACATTTATTATTTATCATGATGTATTTTATATAAATCCTATCAAAATCCTTGTAATCCTTCAAGGTTCAGTCACAAAACATTTATAATCGAATTCGTTACAAAGTATGTTTGGATGAAATTATGGTTCCTCTGATTAGGGGGGGAAATCAAGCCATTTCAGAGCAAATATGTATTGAAAATAGTGCTGAAAATCGGAGACATTAGAGTTTGGTCATATTTCCCAGTCCTGATGGTTATTCATCAGTGAAAGTCAACAGTAAAACTGTGTAAATCTGTTCCATCATTGTTCAAACCAAACCACAAACGCACAGATTTACAGAATCTGTTATTTTCTGGCTCATTCCTGACATTTCTGTTAATGAGCTCAAATTCATGGCCTTAAAATTTGTTATGCTCACAGGTTAATAACCAACGCTCTCTGAAGAACATGCACTTATCCATAGTTTTTGCAGTGTCTGTCCAGACTCGATCTGTTCAATACTAGACTTGGTTTGAAGAATCCGGGCCTCATTTATGAAACGTGTAGTTCAGGTAAAGCAATCGGACGTCGATTGGTGCTTTTTTTTTATACGTTAATGACATTAATTAGATCGGAAACACTTCAGCTGCGCACTTTCATTTCAAGAAGATCATTTGCAGTTTATAGATTTGACATCTGGAAGATGTTTTTTGTCCGTGTCGTTCTGTGAATCACATGTACACACATCTGAGAATTGATTTTCAAAGCGACGTCTGCTAAACGCGGCCGAGACGTGTGACTGTGCCGAGGGCTGGAGAATGTCACTGCAATTATCAAACAAAATATCAAACCATGTGACAGAGAAATGATGCAGGAGCGTTTACAGGAATCCCGTCGCTCAGTAGATGCACACTCTCTGAGAAATGCTGGGTGGTTTCAACCCAAATTTGGGTCAAATATGGACAAACCAAACCAATTTTTTTATTTTACATTTTTAACCCAAGGGCTGAGTTTGTCCATATTTGACCCAAATTTGGGTTGAAACAACCCAGCATTTTCTAGAGTGTGCCGTTTGGTTGGATGTCATTCAGATATTGTGAGAAACAGTGAAGAGTTTGGAAACAGACTGGACGGACAGAAGATGCAGTAACGCTGATGATGATGATGAGGAAGAGTGTGATGATGAAGAGTTTCAGACGCTCAGAGGAAGCTCTTCTATGATCATCCGAGACACTGATGTGTGTGTGTGAGTGATGATGATGAGGAAGAGTGTGATGATGATGATGATGATGAAGAGTGTGATGATGATGATGATGATGATGAAGAGTTTCAGACGCTCAGAGGAAGCTCTTCTATGATCACCCCGAGACACTGATGTGTGTGTGTGAGTGATGATGATGATGATGAGGAAGAGTGTGATGATGAAGAGTTTCAGACGCTCAGAGGAAGCTCTTCTATGATCACCCGAGACACTGATGTGTGTGTGTGAGTGATGATGATGAGGAAGAGTGTGATGATGATGATGATGATGATGTTTCAGACGCTCAGAGGAAGCTCTTCTATGATCACCCCGAGACACTGATGTGTGTGTGTGAGTGATGATGATGAGGAAGAGTGTGATGATGATGATGATGATGATGAAGAGTGTGATGATGATGATGATGAGGAAGAGTGTGATGATGATGATGATGATGATGATGTTTCAGACGCTCAGAGGAAGCTCTTCTATGATCACCCGAGACACTGATGTGTGTGTGTGAGTGATGATGATGAGGAAGAGTGTGATGATGATGATGATGATGATGATGATGATGAAGAGTGTGATGGTGATGATGATGATGATGAAGAGTTTCAGACGCTCAGAGGAAGCTCTTCTATGATCACCCCGAGACACTGATGTGTGTGTGTGAGTGATGATGATGAGGAAGAGTGTGATGATGATGATGATGAAGAGTGTGATGATGATGATGATGATGAGGAAGAGTTTCAGATGCTCAGAGGAAGCTCTTCTATGATCACCCGAGACACTGAGTTCCAGCCAGTAGAAGCGTCTCCGTGAGGATAATCTCCACATGTTCCGACCCACACCGCCACATCCACCAGGCCTTTCCCCACTCCTCCACACACGCCTTCCACTGAAACCAGCAGACACAGCGGCGTTAGACTACACTGGACTCGCATCCTTCCCTCGGCTCATTCTGACCCACAATTCTTTTCTTTTTTTAAATTGAGTGTTCATCAGAGGGGTTCAAGACCCACGGACTGTTGTCGCACTTGAAACACGAATAAACAAAATTCGAGGAGTTTTGTGGTTGAAATTTTAAAAAGTAACAAATCCTTTCCTCAATCTGACCCCCTTAGGAATGAGTGAATGCGAGGAATGCTTCAGTACACATAGAAAAAACTAAAAGTGCTCAAAATTCAAACTAAAAATGCTAAAACATTACCATAAAAATGATTTTATAATGTCTACATGTGTATCTGAATGCACACTGAAGTGAACTGGCTTTAGGACCCAGCAGAACAGCTCCTCTGCTCCATATAGAGCTATAACGCCCATCTAGTCATGAAATATCATGTGTTATTATTATTTTCGAGGTCAACAAAGACTCCCAATGTAAGATATTTAGAGCTGAATTAAAAGGTGTATGCATTAAATTGTGAGTTATTTTAAATGTAAGTTGAAAGAATGTGAGGAATGTGCTTAAATTACTATTTATTTATTATTTATTGAACAAAATATTTAAAGGTAAATAAAATAAAAATAAATAAAAAATCGCCTAAAAAATTTCATTAAAAAATCGAAAAATATGATCAAAATAAGTTTTTGAAAAATAAATAGAATTAATTTTAAAGCTTTGGGAAATTTTAACCTGCGTTACTAAGTGTGAGGGAAGGATGATTATGTATCATGCATCACTCTTATCCTATCATTCTACACAAGGCTTCGTGTTCCTCTTTAATGTCATTATCGCCAAATAAACCCAAACATCTCGTATCATCCTGATCCTGAAGGGCTTTTATTAGGCAGGGATGACCAGATCACATATTTAAAATATTATTTAAATCGTTCTGAAAGTGATTTCAACCACATAATTTCTCATAGTGTGAGTTTTATACCGCTATGGTTATGGTTATGGTTATGGTGGGGTTCAGAGGTCACTGACCTGATGTGGTTCTGTGGATGTTGATGGTGTTGTTGAACTCTGGGCTTCCCTGATCCAGGTAAATGATGGACTCCACAGGTAATGGAGACGCACATTCGGCCCCGTTGAAGGTGAAGTACCAGCGCTGGCAACACGCCGTCTTACACTTGAGCCTGAGCGAACCACTGAACAACACACGGAGAGAGCTGGCCACTCGCTGCTTAGTGAACGTGCACTCCTGAGGAGGAAGAGGAGGATGAAGAAACCACACATATACTGGAGAAAACACTCCTGAGGAGGAAGAGGAGGATGAAGAAACCACACATATACTGGAGAAAACACTCCTGAGGAGGAAGAGGAGGATGAAGAAACCACACATATACTGGAGAAAACACTCCTGAGGAGGAAGAGGAGGATGAAGAAACCACACATATACTGGAGAAAACACTCCTGAGGAGGAAGAGGAGGATGAAGAAACCACACATATACTGGAGAAAACACTCCTGAGGAGGAAGAGGAGGATGAAGAAACCACACATATACTGGAGAAAACACTCCTGAGGAGGAAGAGGAGGAGGAAGAAACCACACATATACTGGAGAAAACACTCCTGAGGAGGAAGAGGAGGATGAAGAAACCACACATATACTGGAGAAAACACTCCTGAGGAGGAAGAGGAGGATGAAGAAACCACACATATACTGGAGAAAACACTCCTGAGGAGGAAGAGGAGGATGAAAAAAACAGACATATACTGGAGAAAACACTCCTGAGGAGGAAGAGGAGGATGAAAAAAACAGACATATACTGGAGAAAACACTCCTGAGGAGGAAGAGGAGGATGAGGAGGATGAAGAAACCACACATATACTGGAGAAAACACTCCTGAGGAGGAAGAGGAGGATGAAGAAACCACACATATACTGGAGAAAACACTCCTGAGGAGGAAGAGGAGGATGAGGAGGATGAAGAAACCACACATACACTGGAGAAAACACTCCTGAGGAGGAAGAGGAGGATGAGGAGGATGAAGAAACCACACATATACTGGAGAAAACACTCCTGAGGAGGAAGAGGAGGATGAAGAAACCACACATATACTGGAGAAAACACTCCTGAGGAGGAAGAGGAGGATGAGGAGGATGAAGAAACCACACATATACTGGAGAAAACACTCCTGAGGAGGAAGAGGAGGATGAAGAAACCACACATATACTGGAGAAAACACTCCTGAGGAGGAAGAGGAGGATGAAGAAACCACACATACACTGGAGAAAACACTCCTGAGGAGGAAGAGGAGGATGAAGAAACCACACATATACTGGAGAAAACACTCCTGAGGAGGAAGAGGAGGATGAAGAAACCACACATATACTGGAGAAAACACTCCTGAGGAGGAAGAGGAGGATGAAGAAACCACACATATACTGGAGAAAACACTCCTGAGGAGGAAGAGGAGGAGGAAGAAACCACACATATACTGGAGAAAACACTCCTGAGGAGGAAGAGGAGGATGAAGAAACCACACATATACTGGAGAAAACACTCCTGAGGAGGAAGAGGAGGATGAAAAAAACAGACATATACTGGAGAAAACACTCCTGAGGAGGAAGAGGAGGATGAAAAAAACAGACATATACTGGAGAAAACACTCCTGAGGAGGAAGAGGAGGATGAGGAGGATGAAGAAACCACACATATACTGGAGAAAACACTCCTGAGGAGGAAGAGGAGGATGAAGAAACCACACATATACTGGAGAAAACACTCCTGAGGAGGAAGAGGAGGATGAGGAGGATGAAGAAACCACACATACACTGGAGAAAACACTCCTGAGGAGGAAGAGGAGGATGAGGAGGATGAAGAAACCACACATATACTGGAGAAAACACTCCTGAGGAGGAAGAGGAGGATGAAGAAACCACACATATACTGGAGAAAACACTCCTGAGGAGGAAGAGGAGGATGAAAAAAACAGACATATACTGGGGAAAACACTCCTGAGGAGGAAGAGGAGGATGAGGAGGATGAAGAAACCACACATATACTGGAGAAAACACTCCTGAGGAGGAAGAGGAGGAAGAGAGGATGAAGAAACCACACATATACTGGAGAAAACACTCCTGAGGAGGAAGAGGAGGATGAAGAAACCACACATATACTGGAGAAAACACTCCTGAGGAGGAAGAGGAGGATGAAAAAAACAGACATATACTGGAGAAAACACTCCTGAGGAGGAAGAGGAGGATGAAAAAAACAGACATATACTGGAGAAAACACTCCTGAGGAGGAAGAGGAGGATGAGGAGGATGAAGAAACCACACATATACTGGAGAAAACACTCCTGAGGAGGAAGAGGAGGATGAAGAAACCACACATATACTGGAGAAAACACTCCTGAGGAGGAAGAGGAGGATGAAAAAAACAGACATATACTGGAGAAAACACTCCTGAGGAGGAAGAGGAGGATGAGGAGGATGAAGAAACCACACATATACTGGAGAAAACACTCCTGAGGAGGAAGAGGAGGAAGAGAGGATGAAGAAACCACACATATACTGGAGAAAACACTCCTGAGGAGGAAGAGGAGGATGAAAAAAACAGACATATACTGGAGAAAACACTCCTGAGGAGGAAGAGGAGGATGAGGAGGATGAAGAAACCACACATATACTGGAGAAAACACTCCTGAGGAGGAAGAGGAGGATGAGGAGGATGAAGAAACCACACATACACTGGAGAAAACACTCCTGAGGAGGAAGAGGAGGATGAAGAAACCACACATATACTGGAGAAAACACTCCTGAGGAGGAAGAGGAGGATGAAGAAACCACACATATACTGGAGAAAACACTCCTGAGGAGGAAGAGGAGGATGAAGAAACCACACATATACTGGAGAAAACAATCCTGAGGAGGAAGAGGAGGATGAAGAAACCACACATATACTGGAGAAAACACTCCTGAGGAGGAAGAGGAGGATGAGGAGGATGAAGAAACCACACATATACTGGAGAAAATACTCCTGAGGAGGAAGAGGAGGATGAAGAAACCACACATATACTGGAGAAAATACTCCTGAGGAGGAAGAGGAGGATGAAGAAACCACACATATACTGGAGAAAACACTCCTGAGGAGGAAGAGGAGGATGAAGAAACCACACATATACTGGAGAAAACACTCCTGAGGCGGAAGAGGAGGAAGAGGAGGATGAAGAAACCACACATACACTGGAGAAAACACTCCTGAGGAGGAAGAGGAGGATGAGGAGGATGAAGAAACCACACATATACTGGAGAAAACACTCCTGAGGAGGAAGAGGAGGATGAAGAAACCACACATATACTGGAGAAAACACTCCTGAGGAGGAAGAGGAGGATGAAGAAACCACACATACACTGGAGAAAACACTCCTGAGGAGGAAGAGGAGGATGAAGAAACCACACATATACTGGAGAAAACACTCCTGAGGAGGAAGAGGAGGATGAAGAAACCACACATATACTGGAGAAAACACTCCTGAGGAGGAAGAGGAGGAAGAGGAGGATGAAGAAACCACACATATACTGGAGAAAACACTCCTGAGGAGGAAGAGGAGGAAGAGGAGGATGAAGAAACCACACATATACTGGAGAAAACACTCCTGAGGAGGAAGAGGAGGAAGAGGAGGATGAAGAAACCACACATACACTGGAGAAAACACTCCTGAGGAGGAAGAGGAGGATGAAGAAACCACACATATACTGGAGAAAACACTCCTGAGGAGGAAGAGGAGGATGAAGAAACCACACATATACTGGAGAAAACACTCCTGAGGAGGAAGAGGAGGATGAGGAGGATGAAGAAACCACACATATACTGGAGAAAACACTCCTGAGGAGGAAGAGGAGGAAGAGGAGGATGAAGAAACCACACATATACTGGAGAAAACACTCCTGAGGAGGAAGAGGAGGATGAAGAAACCACACATATACTGGAGAAAACACTCCTGAGGAGGAAGAGGAGGATGAGGAGGATGAAGAAACCACACATATACTGGAGAAAACACTCCTGAGGAGGAAGAGGAGGATGAAGAAACCACACATATACTGGAGAAAACACTCCTGAGGAGGAAGAGGAGGATGAGGAGGATGAAGAAACCACACATATACTGGAGAAAACACTCCTGAGGAGGAAGAGGAGGAAGAGGAGGATGAAGAAACCACACATATACTGGAGAAAACACTCCTGAGGAGGAAGAGGAGGATGAAGAAACCACACATATACTGGAGAAAACACTCCTGAGGAGGAAGAGGAGGATGAAGAAACCACACATACACTGGAGAAAACACTCCTGAGGAGGAAGAGGAGGATGAGGAGGATGAAGAAACCACACATATACTGGAGAAAACACTCCTGAGGAGGAAGAGGAGGATGAAGAAACCACACATATACTGGAGAAAACACTCCTGAGGAGGAAGAGGAGGATGAGGAGGATGAAGAAACCACACATATACTGGAGAAAACACTCCTGAGGAGGAAGAGGAGGAAGAGGAGGATGAAGAAACCACACATATACTGGAGAAAACACTCCTGAGGAGGAAGAGGAGGATGAAGAAACCACACATATACTGGAGAAAACACTCCTGAGGAGGAAGAGGAGGATGAGGAGGATGAAGAAACCACACATATACTGGAGAAAACACTCCTGAGGAGGAAGAGGAGGATGAAGAAACCACACATATACTGGAGAAAACACTCCTGAGGAGGAAGAGGAGGATGAAGAAACCACACATACACTGGAGAAAACACTCCTGAGGAGGAAGAGGAGGATGAAGAAACCACACAAATACTGGAGAAAACATTAAAATAAGAATGTGTGCTCTTTTGGACATGAACGCTGGTATTAATGAAGCCGTTTGATTGGTCAGATGTTCTGGTGTGATTCTGATTGGTCAGATGTCTTGGTGTGATTCTGATTGGTCAGATGTCTTGGTGTGATTCTGATTGGTCAGATGTCTTGGTGTGATTCTGATTGGTCAGATGTCTTGGTGTGATTCTGATTGGTCAGATGTCTTGGTGTGATTCTGATTGGTCAGATGTCTTACTGTGATTTTCCCCAGGTCGATGCCGTAGTTGAGCGCGTTCCAGGCGCACTGCTTATAGTTGGGTCTCCAGGGCTCCTCGAAGCGCTCCGTCACACACTCCCCCTTCTGTCCTCTCGCCCCGTCTCGCCCCGGGACACCCGGAGTGCCTGGGATCCCGTTCACTCCCGGATTCCCATCTCTTCCCGGGGGGCCGGCGGGTCCCTGGAGGCAGCTGGAGAACTGCAACACACAGTCAGTGTAAAGCGTCAGGAGTGAGTCTCTGTTACTGATGAGGAAAACATGCAGTGGCTGAAACTCTTTTGCACAGTGTTACTAAAGAGCATGGAGAGGAAACTGGAGCATGAAGACACACTCATTCATCCATCCAGGCTGTAAAACA